ACTATTTCGTCATCATGCTTTGTTACCTTACCTGTTTATACCTCATGAGGGCGTTTTTTTATGGCAAGATGGCGCAAACGGAAGTCCTTCGCAGGTTTATGGTTTCTCATATTTAAATCATCATAACTCTGAAGATAATCATTTTTTTTAATTTTTTTTTTTCAAATTTATAATCAATATACATAACTTGATAAATACAAACACCAAAATAGGCTCTATTTAGTTCCCCTTTAATATTTTTCAAAATTTAAACGAAGAATTGAAGAAACATTTAACACTTTTTTCAATGATAACAGATCATAGTCGAAAAGAAGTTTACCCATTCATGCTAGTCACAATTAACATTGTACACTTCAATAGGTGTTAATGACCACGACAAAACGAAATGATACTATAATATAGGCACCAGGAAATACTGCAATGTATTTACGAATACATACCTAGGTATAAGTACAATTTCTTTGGCTGCTATGATTGAAGCAGATAGTTTCTCAATAGACACAAAACCACCTGATTTTATGTTGTATAATTTCTTCATATGTTCATTCATACCAACATAACTCGCTGGTATTGTCACCACAGGCCATGCCGTACAGATTAATGAAGCTGTATCTGATGTAACAATGACTTGTTTACCAATACATATACCACACATCTTCATTGTACTAGGATTCAGTTGAACCATGTCTTGCCTGATTGTTGCAGGAAGCCTTTCATCAACTAAAAAAAAATTTAAGTTCTGCTATGAAACAAGCATATAATATGTATGTATAATGCTTTGAATGAAGACTGTAATGGGTCAATGTAGCGTAGTGATTATTGCGTTGGACTCACAAATCCACCCATAAAGCTAAAAATACAATGAAGTTGGGAAGTGCTGGAGGGTAGGGGTAGGGTTAGGGTTGGATTTAGGGGTGGGGGTGCAAAAGGAACTCTTTCTGATTGTTTGGCGGTTTAGCAAGAATTTCACGCACACAACTACAGTGTGGTTCCAATGGAGCTTTGTAGCAAGTATGCAAATATGCCAAAAAATAACGCTGTGACATCCTAGCCCTGGAATGGGCGTTTTTTATATACAGTCGTTCGCTGCCCACTCAACACCGCCATGCTATAGCAAAATGAGGTTAATGTGCAGCAAATTGATGCACATTGTTTTGAATCAAATGAGTGAACCGAACATGAATTAATAACTGCCAGGACTTCAATTTATTCATGAAAATCTCAATTACACTTCGAATTTGGCGTAAATTGAATAAAATATCGTTCACGGGGAATCCAGGTTAGGTAATTGCTGGTGTACGCATGCGAATTCAGAGTATTGTGTCATATGCATCCACCTCATTTTGCTTTAGGTCTCATACCACTAATTGAAACTCCATAGATGGTGGTGGTTTTTTGAACTAAAAAACAAGTCACATGAGGGCGCTTATGTAGGCAGGATGGACATGGCTATTGATTGAATTCAGGGCTCATACCACTAATTAAAACTCCATACATGACAGGATTGCTATATGTAAATGATTAACAAAGTTGAAAACATGGCTCAAAAATGGGAAATAAACATGCCAGTAATCAACCACATGAAAAAAACATGTTGTCATGTTGGCCAGCTCAAACTCTTGTAAATCTCAGGTAAACAAGACACACCTACTGTATTGGATTGCACCTAGAGAAATCACTGGCAATAAACAAAAGACCACATGTTAGTCTCACCTTTGACCCAGGTGATGTACGCCTCAGGCTCAAACAGGGTGCACCTAAGAAACAAATATTTAAAAAATTTCATTGGTTCTTGCAAGACTTTTAACGAACGAACGCTCATTAGTTAATTAGTGGCATGAGACCTGTAGCAGTATCCATTGCGACGAGCAGCGGCCGACTGAATATAAATCATGACACCCACTCTTAAAATCCAGTGCACCCAGATCCCACCGAAACAACAACACATAAAACGATTCCCCAATGACATCTTATTCGATCGCATATTACCTTTGTCAACGCTTGTGTGCACAATTGCAAAAAACGTGGTTCCACGGATATGACCATGCTTCACATTCATAACCACATGATCACCATCTTCCGTTGAATTGTCTTTACATACATCACAGTGAGTAGAGATGTCCTTACTGCTGAATAGAGCATCGCATATGGTACATTGCACCCATTCTGTTCTCGTCCCCTTTCGTTTCGGTGGCATTTTTGCTGAAAATTGGTTACTCCAAAGAAACCATGTTCAACTCATGGAAGTCGCCATCTTGGTTTGCGTTGACCTTATGTCAGCCTCGTTCGCGAGGCTGAAATTCACAGACGTGCACGCAACGGACTGTGGTACAAAACTTTGATCAAATGTTGATCATTTAAACACATCGGAATGATTTGATTTATCTATTAACGTGATCCAGGCAATTTCAGGAAGGATCTTCGAAGTTGCTAATATTTTGTGAATATATTGCATATTGAATATATTAACTTCAGACCAAAACCACCATAATATTAAATACAATGTATGTCTTTTGTTTCTTGTTATGTAAATCGTTCGTTTTAGAAACTGCCATACATACACAAATAAATAAATAAACAAACAAATAAATAAATAAATAATTTATAAACAGAAATGGAAAAATCACATTGTACATCGGGATTTGTGTAAGCAAGTATTGCAATAGGTTGTTGTTCAATGTAACATGAGAATGTCGACCGCCAAAAGTATTGTTACAGTAATATAATTGTATTAGTATGTAGTGATTGAATATTTCGTAGCCCCAACAACATTCGGTCAATCAAGCAACAGATTAAAATAAATTCGAAATGATCGAATAACATTCAACAGTTTGAAAGTGTATTATATTCAGTTCATCTCGATGTCATTGTTCCCCAGACTGTCGACAGGCCCTCTCATGTTTGTTTTTTTCGACTAAAATGATTTAATCAAATGTCGCAAAACCCATTAGACCAGATGGATTGACGACATTCTATCCTTCCCCTCGTGGACAGAAAGGTTAAACAAGCACACACAAATCTGTTTAAGTCACAAGAACAGTGGCGGATCCAGCAAAATGTATTGGGGCCAAGCTTGGCTTAACATTACGGAGCGAAAATCGCAGAGAAGCTATGCGTAATCCAGATGATATGAATCGTCATGCGTTTTTTTTTGGGGGGGGCATGGCCCCCTGGATCTGGATCCGCCACTGCACAAGAAGTGATTCTCCGCAGTGTTCGTATGTCTTGCTGTTACTTACCGTTTATGACGCATACTTAAAATTCCTAAAAATATTGCATAATTTTGTTTCAGGGAAATCCCGTTAATTTCAATCCGAATGACTAAAAATTGACTACAACTAAAATATTTCTTACCTCGCCCTATATCACGAATATCTCATATAATTATCTGCAAACGGAATATATAGCAATTAATTACATATTACATATAGATTCAGTCGTCTTCCAGATGATGGATGGGGATGGTTTGTACTGTGTAATAGCTTGGTAGTGGAACTATTGATAGACGACACCATCTCTCAGTACGGTGTTATCGTCATTGTATTGCAATATTCTGTGATCACATCACATTATTATGATTTGAACTTTATTATAAAATATTATTATAAATTTCTTTTAGTAGTATATGTGATTGCACACATTGCATTGGGTTAACAGTGTAGACAAGGAATGATACCTTTATAACTAATTAATCGTATTATCATTATTATTATCAATGTGGTAGGCCCAGTCGCCATCTACTTCTTCAATGATAAATATAGCGCCAGGATTGCTGTGACGGTAGGTACTACTTTAACAACCGCCGGATTGTTGTTTTTGTGTCCTGTAAGTATTATCTTTACATATCTTAGGGGATCGTGGCAGGTTATATTATCAGGTGGTTATACACATTTGGTGAAATCGATAAAGATGCCAATAATTGACTGAGCAATTTGTCGAATTAAAATATTAATTAAATTTAATAATTTAATAACATTTTTGTGCGTTATTTACGAAAACCGTACTGACGCTCAGAAAAAGTAATGATACTTCAGTTTATGTTACCTGATATATCACTTGGCCCTTTTTTAAATATGTGACAGTGGTGTTTAAAAATTAAGTTTACAGCAGCAGAGAGAAGCTTTGCAGGTAAATTGTCATAACCTGGTGATAGGATTCATATTTTTAATAGCATAAATACTTTTTGAGTTGTAGGTAGTAAAAAGAAGGAAGCATGATGACCACGTAAATAGTCACTATATTTGAGGGTTATCTTGTCATATATTGAAGCTAGGTTAAAACTAATATTTACAAAATAATTGTTGAAGGGCTCAGTGATTTTTCTATGATTTGTGCAATTATTGTTGACGCCGCTTTCGTTCAGTATAACTCGCGAACGCCGTAAGGATTTCAGGCCAAGTCACTCAAAATTTAAAGGCCTTCAACTAAGTTTTGCCTACAAAACAACTTTAATATGTGGAACTGCCATGCATTAGCGGGAGAACAGAATATCACTCGGAAAATTCTAAATCATCATACATAGAAAATACATAAAAGAGTTAACCGAAAATTATACTATTGTTGGTGAATCAATATACAGGGTAATCCATAATTATTGAGAGTACGTGGCATTGTATTTTTTAATTTGTTACATGTTTACAACTAATTTTGTTTAAATATGTCATTGAAAATTACTGATGTAGAATCACTGTTCATCCTAATCAGAGAAATGTCAAAACAATTCGTCATATACAAAATACATTATGAATACAATCACACATCCTCTCTCACTACGTCTAAGCAATTACCTGTGTATTGTGAATTGTACCACGGATGTCCAACGGGCGTTCTAGAATTTCTGCGGTTATATGTCGTAACACAGTCACAGCGTGCTATGTGAGTATCGATAACTCCCAAGATGCAACAAATTGATTGACTACAAATTGAACTACGCTTACTTATAAAGACAGTTTTGTTGCTCGAAACTCACCAATTTGCGACAGCCGTGGTACGAATTAATTAAAGACCGGGCGGAGTCTATTATTCACATGAAGTCGCCCTCATCCACAGCATGGGTGTACATCCATGCCCACAGCAACAATGGTGACTAAAAGCTCCACAAAAACACAAGAAACAGTGGTTCATTGCATTATATTTCCTATTTTTCAAACGTGAATGGTGCCATGAATGTTCAGGGAAGCCATAAATAAAAATAATAGTGAATTTAACAGCTAGACCATTTACTTTTGCCGGGAAAATGGGCTTCAAAACCGTTGAGTTTCGACACTGTAAGCTCCACATCGTTTTCAAAATGCCTACTTTGCATATGAGGGGAAATAAACGCCACGAGTGCGTTGTTTATGTTACATAATACAATGGAATTAATTACAGGAAAGAAACACAGACGAGCTTCTTTGCAACGTGGGGCATGAGGTTGTCAAAACCGGACAGAATATAAAGTGTCTGTCTGAAAACACAGATGGTAGTTGAATTCAACGATAAACGGCATTCATAAGCCGTTCCTAACAATTTTGCCTGTAGTTACATGTATTATAATAATAATAATAATTTTATTAACACTTACACATTCCCGGAGGGATTGGCAATGGTTACAAAAGTTTAAGAAGGAATAAAAGGTTACAAAACAGTGAATAGATAAAAAAAAAAACAAAAACAAAAAAAAAATCTAAGCTAATACATTACAGATAATAGCAAGTATAAAATTATGATACTACGATAGATAGAAAACAAAATGCAAAACTTAAATAGTGAAAGAAGGTTGTCACTGGGGTTGCTGTCTTATTTCAAAACACTTCTTTAGGTACCTTGCTACGGGGAGTGTTAGGCCACTGTTGTTTAGCATGGCTATGAATTGTGTCTTTGGTGGCAAATATTTAAAGTTTTGGATTTTGGTTTTTGCCATTTCGAATAGGACATTTCTTCTGGGGGTATATCTTTTACATGACATCATGAGGTGATACT